CTGAAGAGGACACTGAGGCCCAAAGTCACTTTTCAAATATTGGCATATTGCAAATGAAAACTTTTTGCATATTGCATATGCAATATGCAATATGCCACACGCCTGTCCTAATGCAATATGCCACACGCCTGTCCTAGTTTTCCTTTCTGACTTCACCATACTAAAATATCTGGTTATACAATTTCTGTGCTGTTTACAGAAGAAAGCAAATGGTTATAGTAGTAATCCAAACTGCTATGACAGCCACACTTGTGGTGTAAAGGAATGAATATAGCACTGGAAAAAGAGTAGTGCCTGTGAAAAGGCAGATGTTCAGGCCTGTAGACTTATTCAGCAAGTTCTGTACTGTTACCTTTCTCACTTAAGTTTCCTGCTGTCCAGTGGGCCAAATACAGTCTAAGAACCCCTGCCCAACAATGTTTACATCAGTATAAAATAGTGTTAATATAAATACACCTTGAACCTGACACACCCCAGTCTTTCTTGAACACACACACACACACCCTCATACAGAAAATGACAGTAGTGAGGGCAGATTGTGCTGTATAAATGAACACTGAACACAAAATCACACATGCCCTACAGATCTACTAATAAGCTGCCCTCTCCCTCTCTCTGCTTCCCTAAAATTCCCCAAGCCCCAACTGTTGCTCCGATCAACGGATCCAATACTTAAAGAGATTAACACTGACATTGGTACACAATGAATTGTTCAGCATACTCTATTCTTCTTCATTTTCAAGACACTCACGTTAGTACTCCTTCCCTGTCCTCTGATAGAACAAAATAATGGAAGGCATGGGGAAGCAGTTTAGCGGTGCTAAACCCACATTCATTTGGATCAACTGGAATGCAAATAGCTGTCTCCCTCTTTGATGGCATAGCATCTAATTATGCAATTCCTTCATTTTCATATTAAGCATTTTTCAGCTTTCAAATATTATGTCAGCAAACCTGCAGTCCTTCAAATTCTGCCTTCTGACGGGATATTAAATGCTTTGCAATAGTTCCTGAGTACTGGTACACAGCCAAAGCATGGTCTCATGACAAAGCACAGACTGCCACCTACCGACCAGGATCCCTTCTTACTCCACACTCAAGTTCAGGGAAGCAAGGCTCCTCCCCCTCACAAAGTTTTCTTTGCTAATAATTTTATGCAATGCATTCAACTAAATCATTAAAATTTTTTGATTCTTTTAAACATAAATTTTTTTAACTTAGAAAAAGAATGCTAAACAGACATGCTTCTGTAGAACTAAAAATTCCCAACCTACACTAAAAAAAGCAAAGATTATCAAGGAAAAAAGAAGTATGTTTTAGAAGTCAGGTTTTATATATTTCTGTTCTGTTTCATTTTGTACCATGACTCAGATATGCATGACCTTTTTTAAAATATGTTAAAAAAACAACTTTAATAGACATTTCTGGTCACCATTCCTTTATCTTCTGAAAACAGAAGCTCAGTTGCTCATTAGAGAGTAACGGTGACTTAATTATCCATCTTGATCAAGTTGTAATTTTTAAAGTTTTGAATTCAAAATCCTCAAGCTACTATAAAAAAAATTCACAGCAGCTACTGACAGTAAGGCAAAAAGAGTGAATTAGCCATTAAAATTTGCTCAGCCCCCTGATGCACAGACATAAATATGCAGGTACCCTCTAAGAATGAATCTTTTCTCAAGAGTTAGTTTCATTAGTTTCTCCCTATTTTAGTTTATTTGGGGAGGAAATCTGGTTTTTGTTTTTTTTTTTTAGATTAGACAAACCAAATTAAAGATCTGCTGCCTTTTGAAGCTGTCTGGTAGGGAAAATGATAGGGAAATAATTACAGTATAATTTGCAAGATGTTAGATGCAATCTAACCAATAATAAAATAGTATCTGAGTTTGCTTGGAGAATCAGGAAAAACTTCACAGGGAAATCTTCTGAAGGAGAAATAAGAGCTTGCCAGGTAACCAGATGAGAGACAGAGATCCAGACAGATGTGCAAAATGATGCAGACCTTAGGAGAAACATCCAGCAATTCAAAATTCATAAAGAATACAGTGATACAGTCAGACAGGTAGCTAGATCTTAAAGTCTTCTGCGTGCCCTGCTAAGCGATGTGTTTTAGAATAATCTTGCAGCAAAGTAGGGAATGGACTGAGGGAGGGCAAGACCAAAGGAAGGATGATTGCTAAGAAAAGAAATGAAATCACCAGGCAGAGAAAATTAAAGCTCGGATGTATCAGGGTAATAAGAATGGAGAGACCACATTAAAGACAAACTATGAAGATAAAGTTTCAGCACTGACTAGGCATGGAGAATAAGAAGACACAAGGAACCCCTGGGTTTCTGACTTGTGTACCTAAATGAGTGGTGATATATTCACCAAAGAATTCACTGGATGGTTGTAATGAAGTTAGCTTTGGAAAAGATGCCTTTTATGTGACTGCGGGGACACTGAGGTATAGCTATGTAGTGAAATGGTGAATTTACAAATCTGCATCTTAAGATACAGGTCAGGATTAAAGACAGAAATTCAGAAGTTGCATGCTGGACCTGGTCATGCATGTTTATAATCTCAGCTACTAGGGAAACAGAAACAGGAGGATCAAGAGTTTGAGACCAGCCCAGCAAAGTTAGCCTGAGAGCCCATCTCAAAAACAAAATAAAAGTAAAAAGGCTAATGGTATAATTCAAAAGGTAGAGTACTTGCCTACCAAGCAAGTGAAGCACTGGGTTCAATCCCCAATAATGCCAAAAAAAAAAAAAAAAATCCCAGAAGTTGCTAGCGTGTGAGGAGCAGGTGATGTGGATGAAATGCCCTAGGCAGGATGGATATAATAAGAAAAGCGCCATGAGTGCGGACAGAGGGCTCATTGGTTCAAATGAACACATGCAGGCTACAACACTGCATCAAGCAAGACAGTCCGTCCTCAGGAGAATCACTGCCACACCAGACAGAGAAAAGACTAAGGTAAAAAAGTATAATTCATCCGGGTGTGGTGGTACATGCCTATAATCCCAGCACTGGGGAGTCTGCAGCACAAGGACTGTGATTTTCAGATTACCACCATGAGCTACATAGTGAATTCAAGGCCACCCTAGACTTCAAACAAGATCTGTTAAAAAAGAAAACAAAGTATAATGCTGCCCTTTAAATATTAAAGTGTACAAACATATTCAAATATGGTCCAGAAATATCAAAATATGTACAGTGGTTTTCTCTAGATTATCTCTAGATAATGAAAAATTTTTATGTTCTCCTTTATGGCTTTCAGTCTTCCCAAAATATTCTACAATGCATATGCATTACTTTGTAAATAAAATGTAGAAAAGTTTTAAAATTTTTTTTTTTTTTTAAGATCTAAAAGAATCTAGCCAAACACAGTGGCTCACACCTATAATCCTAGCTATTTGGGAGACTGAGATCAGGGAGGATCCAGGACAACCCCAGACAAAAAAGTTCCCAAGATCCCATATCAATGGAAAAAGCAGGGTGTGGTGGCATGCACTGTCATTCCAACTACACAGGGAGCATAAAATAGTTGGATCATGTTCCAGGTCAGTCTGGATAAAAAGTGAGACCTCAAAATAACAATAGCAAAAAGGGCTATAGGCATTGCTCAAGTGGGAGAGTGCTTGCCTCACAAGCACAAAGCCCTGAATTCAAAGCCCAGTTCTAAACCAAAGAAAAAAATCTAAAGGAATCTAGATAAACAGGAGAGTAATCTTACAAACTTTTGACCAACTGTTTCAACTCTGAATAGGTCTTACAATGGACAGCCAGAAGAAATCAGAAGGGCTGGACCAGAAACTCAATTTGTTATGACTAGAAGAGAAAAGAACAGGCTGAAAGTAAGGAAAATGGAATAAGTAGGTTTCTTGGATTTAAGTACAGCATAACCACAGAAGCAGTAGGAAAAGAGAGGACAATTTAAAAAACAAAGCAAAAACCTCTTTAAGACCCTCAGTCCTCACCCTGTGTAACAACTGAGCATGAGAGGGCAGGAGCAAAGGTCCAAAGAGAGGGAGATGTCAGCTCCTGTTAACCTTAAAAGCAATTGCTTTGCTGACTTCTAGACAAAAGTGAGAGAAGAAATAAAATGTCAAAACCACGTCAAAGGCATCCTTAACAGTAAGGAATGTAAAAGTACTTTTTAGCAAATCAAAGGGGTAGGAATTAAGAGGATGGGCCAAAATGCCTTCAGATGATTCTAAGTCTAAGGAGACAAAGGAAATGAATAAAAGTCAACAAGATAAACATAAATCACCTATCAGGCGAAAAGCTCAGAGACACTGGGATGAAAGAGATAGAAGGGGAGGTGTGGTTAATTTTATGTTAATTTGTTCAGGTCAAAACACCCAGATGTTTGGTCAAACACAGGTCTAGATGTTGCTGTGAAGGTATTTTTTAGATGTGATTGACTTTTAAATTAATAGCTTTGAGTAAAGCAGATTACCCACAATGTGGGCCTCATCCAATCCATTTAAGGCTTAAAGAGGAAAGATTAAGATTTCCGCTTCAAAAGGAATTTGGCCTCAAGACTGAAACACAGAAACCCTGCCTGAGGTTCCAGCATACCAGCTTGCCCTAAACACTTGCCAGCCCTCACAATCACATGAGCCAATTCTTTAAAAAATAAATCTCTCTTCCCCCAACAAAACATGCAAACAATTAACAAGGACCAACAGGCAGAATCTTGAATGAGAGGCAATGGAACGGAAATTGGCTAAGGTCATTAGCAGTAAGATACCAAAGGGTCTTGGATAGATAAATGACACAATAGAGTAGCAAAATTATTTTGGAATCTATACCATATCACAAGTATAATATGAGCTACATCAGAGAAAGCTAGAGTTAGAAAATATCGAGAAACCTGGGTCATAGGACTTTGCAGGAAAAGGAACCAATCCATGCAATAAGAACATGGCAATTTAACAGGCATGTTTTATATTTTCAAGATATTTTAAGTAAAAGTTTTGCAGGAATACTGTTCATATAGATATTAACTTACCGTATTTGTCTCGCAAGCCAACAGTGCATCTAAAGACTCCACCAAAGGCAACGTCTTCACCAAATATTACTGAAAGACAATGTTTAAAGAACACGTTTTATTTTAAAATTCCTAAATAATACTAGGCAGAAGAAACAAATAATTTAAATGGTTATGTTTTAAATCATAAAACAGAAATAGAACATAGATCAAGGCTTCTCGGTTCAACATTATTGATATTTTGCACAGGATAATTCTTTTGTTGTAGGGCCTTTCCTGTGCATTGTAGACATACAGCAGCACCCCTGGTTTCTACCCACTGGATGACAGCTGCCCTATCACATACACACACACACACAGTTGTGACAACCAAAATTTCTCCAGACACTATTAAAAGAATGAGAAGATGGAGGGGATTAAAATAACGTCTGGCTGAGACAGTACCACAATCTAAAATCTCACTGTGATTTACCCATGAAGAAAATGAGGCCAGAGAAATAGTAGAGGCAGACAGTTAGCAGTAAAACTGTGACATACTCCAGGCTCCCAGCTCAACAGATTTCTTATCATAGTATACAGTCAGAGCCAACTGAGGAGCTAAGGGAAGGGTTTCAAATAAGGGACTTGAACTGCGTGAAACAGAGAGAAGACAAGTACAGTAGGACATAGTGAACAAGGGAAAGATTGGGTGACTGGAAATTGAAAGGAGCTTTACAGTAAGTCCAGGAAAATAAAGCTAGAGGTACTCAGAGCCGAACTCTGGTCCCACGAATGCACCTAATGGTTTCATGGACTTTGAGAAAATAACCCTCATCCATGTGTCATGCATCTTATTCTGTCATTCTCAGAGCATTCAACACAAATCAAGTCTAACCATTGTCTAGTCTAGCTCTCACTTCCTCCTGAAAAATAACCTGCTTCTCACTTCACCTGAAAGCAAAGGATTCTAAAGTGGAATACCAACGTTTACTAATAGATAGGTAGATGATAGATAGATAGATAGATAGATAGACAGACATATATGTACTCATATATACACACGTGTGCATGTATAAAGTAAAGCCAACAAAATTTAGAAAACAGCAAACAACTATTTTATATCAACCATTTAAAAGATGAAAATTAAGCTGCCTATGAAATTATTTATAAATGCTAACATTATTTTTCCACAAAAGTCTTATAAATTGAATGACAAAGTAAAAAAAGTGAAAAAAGTAGAGAAATCAAATCTTCATGTCATGACTAAGTATCTGAATGAAGTGGTGTTCTCTGTGTTTCTCTATGCTAGAGATACAGGAGTATACAGTAGGTATTAATCCAGAAGGTATTAATATCATATTAGGACCACACATACTATGAAGTTAACTTAATGTTGACATTACATGAAACTCGTAATGAGTGAATTAAAAATGTCTTCATATTGCAATCAATTCTATCATTTAGCCTTAATCATTTGATCAAATCTTTTAAAAATTTCAGTAGATGTAATGTTAACCATTACACTCTAGAGAAACATTCCAACCAAATCTTCCATTCTGGAACTAACACAGCTACCATGGTTGCACGAATGAAGTTTACCTGCAGTAGGATCTTTGGCCAATGAGTTATCCAAGGCACTTGTTACTGACTGAAAAAGATTCATTTTCTGAGTTTGCCCTGTGGAAAGCAAAAGAAATATAATTTCATACATTGTAGAATATGTTACCAGTTTCTTAACAGTTGATTACAGCTTGATTAAAGTCAAAGTAGAAAGAAAGGTACAGGAGGGCGGGGATGTAGCTCAGTGGTAGAGCTATTACCAACATGTGCATTGAAAAAAATAAAAGAAAAATATAGAATATATCATATGAATTTACTGGATTATTTACAATAATGCTGGCTCTGTGAAAGACTCAAAAGCAATACAGAATTCCAGAAGCTTGTCGATAAGGCAAAACTTAACACATCCTAAATAATTTGTAAACAAGTTTTTGTAAAAAACAAAGAAGACATATATAATCAAAAGACAAAATGTGTATAAACAATAAAAGCTATGAAAAGTTAGAAAAGGTGTAAGAGAGAGCCAGAGTGAGAGCTATCTGGGACAAGTGTCATCAACAATAGATAGTCATGGCCCATAAAACACTAAGAAAGATAAACTTTAGTGTCCAGGATTGCTAATGTTTGGAGAACACCAGAATCGCATGCTTAAACATGTCAGACTCAGTCCTTCCTACTGTCTTACTGCTTAAGTAGAATCTCTGCAAGCCAATGCCTGTCTCCCTAAGTTGATTTTTGGGAGGAATAAATGGAGCAATACACATAAAATACTCACAACAGTGCCTGACATAGCAAGAGCTGCATAAAGATTCTGGACTTGGTCCATGTCCTTCCTCTTGACCTGAGCATTATGTAAATGGTACAGCAAGGCTTTGTCAGAAAGAGTTCAAGTGTTGCAGTTGGGTAACAGCATGACTAGAGAGCCTTGATTGCAGCCTACGTGCTGCCCAGAGCCCAGTCATCACAGAGCTTTAAGCCAACTCCTCTCCAAAAGCACTACCCAGAACACAGACAGGCATCTCCCTCGATCTTCTGATCCAGAAACCCAGTACTCACCTTATGTTTAATCTATCCAGTGGGGGGTCGTCTTAAACTGATACTTGCCCTGGCCACTGTTCATCTACCTCCATGGTCTTCAGTAACCTAGTGTGACTCAAAAAACAAGGCCTAATTCCCAGTGTGGATCACAACTGCTTCTATTGTACAACTGCTTCCAATGCCCATGAGACATTAGTCACTTATCCTTCCCTGGAGTTCCATCTTCTTCCCTAGCCCAGCCTGACCTCAGCAGACTCTGACCGATGCCATCCTTCCACCACATTCTGCCACTTGGCCTCAAATGTCTCTGATCCCATCAACAGTGCTGAATGCCCAAGCTTCATGTCTTGTGAATCCTCTATCAGAACTGTCCTACTGCCCTCTGTGGCCAGATTAGCCTGAGTGTACTCTTTCCTGGTAGAGAAAATAAGAATTTATTCAGGAAAGTACTGTTGTATCATCCATGTCAAAGGATACATAATCACACCATACATCATGATTACTTTGTAATCTCTTTCTGTAAATCCCTCTCCATTCCACAAATATTCTTAAATTACTTATTAAGGATAATGGTTTAAGGTAAACTCTTTTCCTAATCACAATGACATTCCCACTTTTTCTCCTATTCCTCACATTTCATAAAATAGTTCACTTATTTGTCCACTAGGATTTTCATAAGTCAAGAATCTAGGAAGAAAAAAATATCTAAACATGTAAGCTAGTATGAATTTTAAGTGTGCTGACCATTTGAACTAATACTGAATGCCTCCAAGACTGATTGTTTATCTGTGTGTTTTGTGGTGCTGGAGACTAAACGCAGTGCTGGGAAACAACCTAGGGCTTCATGCTAGGCAAGGCTATATCCCTGAGTTCCACCTCCAGTCTTCCTACCACATCTTATCATGTTGCTGCTCAGCAAGTTTTTAGTAGAAGAAAAGCAAAGTTTTAATAAAAATTGTACAAAATAAGTCCAGAATGTATTTCTCAACACCACAAAGAATTTACTCATCTTCTATGAAATAATTTACAAATAAGGGTTTTAAAAGTTATATTTCCATATGAAGGCACAAACTATACTTCACTACTGGGTATTTTACCAATTAGATTCAAATTTTTAGGTTTTTCAATTGCTTTTCTGCACTATGCTTTTAAAAGTTATAAATGACCACTTTTATTTGACCTTTAGCATTATTCTAAATGGTACAGTAAGTCTCTCTCTGATAGAGTTCAGATAAAGAATTGAGAAACATCATCACTTCAGAGCTACATGTACATACAGCAACATCTACTTTTAATTCTTTTTAAAGCTGCAGCATGATATGTGAGTGAGATGGTAAGAAATCACATTATTCACAGGGTAGGTGTTTTTAAATAGTGTTTTCCTGAGAATTATTTATCCTCCAATAGTCTACTGTCATGGTAAAATAAGCCCATTTGTAAAACCTTATAGCTATGAGCACCTACATTGAAAAATAAGACCTGTCAGCTAGATAGCGGTGGTTCACATCTATAATCCTAGCTTTGGGAGGCTGAGATCAGGAGGACTGTGGTTCCAGGTCAGCCTAAGCAAATAGTTCCTGAGACCCCCATCTTCAAAATAACCAGAGCAAAATGGACTGAAGGTATGGCTCAAGCAGTAGAGCAACTGCTTTGCAAGTGTGAAGCACTAAGTTCATAGTCACACCAAAAAGTAAATAAATAAAAGAGAAAGATGTCAAATAACCTAATGATGCACCTCAGTGTACTAAGAAACAAAGATAAGTCAAATCCCCAGTTACTAGACAGAAAGAAATAATAAAGATCAGGGCAAAAATTCTGCAAGGATGGTTCAACATACACAAATCAGTAAGTGTGATACATAAATACAATCGGGGAGAAAAAGGAACCCTCATACACTCCTGGTGGGAATGTAAATTAGTACAGCCACTATGGAAAACAGTATGGAGGCTCTGCAAAGAACTAAAAACAGATCTGCCATATGATCCAGCAATACCACTCGAGGGATATACCTGAAGGAATGTGAGTCAGGTTACAACAAAAGCACCTGTACACCCATGTTTATTGCAGCACTATTCACAACAGCTACGCTATGGAAACAATTCAGATGCCCTACAACTGATGAACAGATTAAGAAAATGTGATAATATGAGTTTTATTCAGCCGTAAGGAAAAATGAAACCACGTGGTTTGAAAGTAAGTTGATACAATTGGAGGACTTCATGTTAAGTGAGGTAAGCCAGGTTCAGAAAGAAAAAGGCCACATGTTTTCTCTTACATGTGGGAGATAGACACAATATAAATGTAAGCAACATTATAAAAAACAGGTTACGCTAAAGGGAGGTCACTAACAGGAGAGGGAGGATAAAAGAAGGAAGGTAAGAAGGTAAATATAGTTGATGTACTTTCTATACAAGAATGAATACAGAATTTTTAAACCTGTTGAAATCACCGCAAGAAGGTGACTAAGGTTAAAAAGAGAAAAATAGAGGAGTGAACCAATTTGGGCTATAATACATATATACATGAAAATCCCTGTGTAGCTATCTTAAACAAAAATGCCTTTTCTTCAAAACAGAGAACAGGAAGGTAAAACAGGTCCTGCCTGGGGTTGGCAACAGTGAGAGGGGGGAGGACATAAGGAAAGGGTGTAAGAGGGTGAATGTAGTGAAATATTATATACTCATGGATGAAAATGGAAAAATGAGACCTACTGAAACTATTTCAGGATGGGAGAAGGATAAATAAGAATGACGGAAGAGGTGAATTCAACTATGATACATTGTAAGAACTTTTATAAATGTCACATTGCACCCCTAATATAATAATAACATGATTTTTAAAATAAGGCTAAAAGATTAAAATCAAGGAAACAAACAAACAAAAAAGAATACAAGCTAAATTGGGCATGGTGGTGCAGGCCTGTAATTTCAGTACTCAGGAGGCTGAGGCAGGAGGAAAAAAATCTACCACTGTCCCAGTTGGAAGACAGACTAAAAAGGAAGGGGACTGGGGAGGAGGTGAGACTGCACAGTCTGGTGGAGTAGGTGTTTAATAACTACTCCTAAGCAGTAGTGTTTAGGGGATAGAGAAGCCTTCCACAGAGCTATGGTGCCTGAGAGAGAAGATGCAAAGGAGTAGTCTCCAGAAAAAAATAACACCAACAGTAGGCAAGCTGACAGTGACTAAGCCTAGTTCCAAACAAACAAAAAAACACAGCTATGATACAGAAAATTAGGGCCTACTTTCAGGAAATGAAGGTTCTGCCAACACATTCAGCACTGGTCCTCCTTTGCACTGCCTCCTTCTCAGCACAGACCTGTGGGTTACAGCACTTCCTCCTCTTGTTCCTGTTGCAATCTGCAGCCTCTAGCAGAGCCTAACACATACCTGAAACAGTGTGTGCCCCTGGAACATGATGAGTGAATGGCATCTCACGTAATCTCACATTAATCACACTGTGAAAGATGCCTAAGGAACTAGCTGTTTGCTCCAACAAAACTTTTCCAACCCTCTTCTTAAGGACTTCATTTCTTCCCTCTTCTTAAGGATTTGTTTATATTTGCCAAGTATGCACCTTTATCCCATTCTAATTCCTATTAAAGGATATTCCAGTGTCTACCCCCAAGGTAAAATTCAGAAAGAATCCTAATATCAGGGCAGAACTACAACATAAAAGAATAAGCTAAGACAATAGCTTAGTGGTACAAAGCTTGCCTAGAATATGTGAGGCCCTAGGTTCAATCTCTAGAACCTAAAACAAAACAAAACAACAGAAAAAGTAAATGAAGGGCCTATAAATTCAATTGCCTCTTTTTTGCAGGAGGAGCGGGGTGGGTGGGGGCAGCAAGACAGAGTCTTCCTATGGTCCCAGACTGGCTTCAAACTCACTATGTAGTCCAGGCTGGCCTCGAACTCTCCATCCTCCTTCCTCTGCCTCACAATACTAAGATTCAGGCATGTGCCACCATGCCCAGCTTTACGATTGTCTCTTAAGGTGCTAGAGGATACTGCATATCTATGAAAAGGAAGAAAGTAGACAGCACATGAAGGGGAGTGGGCCACCAAAGGCCAAAATTGAGAGTCTCTAAGCTTTAAAGTTGAAGAGACTGTGGCTAAAATCTCTGGGTTGACCCATCTCAGAGCAGTAGGTAACTTCTGCCATGGTACCTGCCTTCCTTTTGCTGCCTTGTCCTCTAGCCCATCATGAAGACATGCAGGTAACTCCCACATATTTATCTTCAACACAGATCTTGCTTCTAATCTTCTGACTTCCCTATCCAACAATCACCAGTTCTCTACTTGGGTGTCTTGGGATTTTCTAATTTAGCAATCACAAAACTGAACTTTTGATATCTGATCCCCAGTCTTTCCCATCTTAACAAATAGCGCTACCCTCAACCAGATGCCCAAACCAGACACCAAAGAAGTATCCTTGATACCTTCCTTCTATGCATTGATCACATCTAGTCCATCGAATTCTACTTTCAAATAGATTTCTTCTACAATACACCTTAAAATCTAGCACCACCAGGTCTTATTTCCAGAGCTCATCACCTGTTTCCTATTCCAGGAAACTCCTTCCTGGTATCTACTCTTTCATCCCTCCAAGTCATTTTCAAAATATCTACTGTAAATGAAGTTCTAAAAAACAAACCACATCATGTTACTCCCCTGTTCCAAACCCTCCAAAGACCCCTGACTGCACTGCAATAATCCCACTCCTCACCATGTCCACAAGGTCTGACTTGATCCCATCCCCAGCCACCTCAACAGTCCCACTTTGCACCACTGTCCTCAACGCTCACCACTGAAGTCTTCTCTCTGTTCTACTATCCAAGCTCCCCGCCACTCAGAACCTTCACACACTGATTCCTCTACCTGGTACCCCCTTCTCACCTTCTTAAATACACCTTCCTGAAAGCTTGGTAAATATTATGTCCTCTTAGGAGCCTTGCCAGCCTTGCATTTGTTTGCTATTTTCTGCACGAGACTTCAAATCCATAAGGCCACAGCCACAAGCATATCCGTAGCATCTAGCAGAGTCTGACATCCAGAAGAAAATAAAGATACATAGAATGAATGCATACACAGAATGCCTGAAACTGGGAACATAGAAAGGCCAGGACGTATTACTTTGGGGAGCAACACAGTATAATAAAGAGAGCAAACACTAAGGCAGACCTGGCCTAGAACCTGTTAAATTATTTACTCTCTGTGTGACTTTGAGCAAGTTACTCAAACTACTGACATTCAGTTCCCTCCTCTATAAAAACAGGGACAATATCTAATGTATAGGGCTATTATGGGAATTCTGTGAAGTGAATTCTATCAATATTTATGGACCATCACTCTGTGCTGGCAACCTTCTTTTCTCCCCTACTTAGGAAGATTAATTCTAGTACCACAGATACCAGGCACCATGGATTAGCTCATGGATTATCTCACTGGGTCCTCACGACAATCCTCTGAAGCAGTACAAATAAGGCAAATAAAACTATCTAAGGCTAATAAGCTTGGCCCATGGCACAATGAAAACTGTGAAGAGGAGAATCAAATTCATGCACGCACTGGTCAAGAACTACAGCTTATAACACCTGGGCAATGTTGCCTCTAGAATGCTGAAATCTCCAAAATGATAACAAAAGAAAAATGAAAGCCAGGCTCCAGTGGCTCACACCTGTGACCCTATCTACTCAGGAGGCAGAAATCAGCAGGATTGCGGTTCGATGCCAGCCCAGGCAAATAGTTCTCCAGACCCTATCTCAAAAAAAATCTCACACAAAAAAGGGCTGGCAAAGTGGCTCAAGCGGTAAGAGCACTTGCCTAGCAAGTGTGAGGCCCTGAGTTCAAATCCCAGTGTGGCCAAAAATAAGAAAAAGTAAAACTATGAATCAACTTCCCAGGTGATCAATAAATATGCAGAAGAAATTGAAGGTGGGTACATTACAATGAAAGTGAAGGACAGTAGCAACTGGAATGAGGCACAAAAGAAGCATTGTCTTCTGGGAAGAACAGCTTTGCGGGGCAAAGCGCTGTGTGAGGAAACTGGAGCGGATCTGAATAATGTAACAGTATAATAGAATGGGTAGGAGTGCACTTTGCAACCAGACCGAGCCAGACTTCTTGAGAAAGAAATGTGGCTCCACAGCAAGTTCAAACGTCTAAACATAGAAGCTTAATCTTTTGTGTCTCAGTTTCTTCATTCAAAAATGGGGATAAACTGGGCATGGTGGCCTACAGGTGTAATCCCAGGTATGTACGAGGTGGACGTATCAGGATGGTGGTCTGAGGCTGACCCTGGGCACGGACTCAGAGTTAGACTCAGATAGAAAACCTGGATTCTTTCCCATCTCTTAAGAAGAACCCGTTCTATGACCTTGGGGAAAATCAATTCAGTTACTTGGCCCCTGGGTTTATTCTTACCTACCTCAAGCAAAAACTAAAGCAATAAAAAGAAAAGAAAAAACTCTTCCTTTGAAATGCCTAAAGAGAGGTGCCCAGTCCCCGACAAGCTGTAACAACGCCTGGGGCCTAGGGTGGGAAAGCTGGAAGGAGACCCGAGAAAGGGAGGCGTTCCTTGGGCACCAGCTCTGCACCTCAGGCCTTCCAGAGGCTGCAAGCCCTCTGAAGAGGAGACCGAGCCGGGACGCGGGAGATCTGCGGGCTGCAGCGGGAAGGGACGGGGCAGCCCCGGGACTCACCGTACTCCCGGGACTCGGGGTCGGGCTGGAACGTGAAGTGAGCCACCTCCCGCCTCTGGGCCACATCTTCGCCAGCGGAAGCAGGTTGCAGGAAGTCCCGCGCTCGTCCCGCGGCACTACGCAGCCAACGCCAGTGTCCCCCTGCTCCGGCGACACGGAGCCTCCAGAGCCCACCTGCAGTCACTGCCGCAGCCGCCATCCCCTCTTGCTGCCGGGGCTCGCAGACACTGCAATCCCACGCTGCCGGCAAAGGGGGCGGAGCACCCGACACGGCTTCCACATTGGCCGGGTCAGAGAGGCTGCCCGGTGGGATGGACCAATAGGAAGTGGGAATTCGGGGGGCGGGGAAGGCGGCGAAAAGGCCGAAAGGCTGATGCTCGTTTTGCGCATGCGAAAGAAGGGCTGAGGAGGCCGTGGGGAGGGTGAGAGCCAATGAAGCTGCTTCCCAAAATCAGCTGCAGCGGCCTGGGAGGAGGAAGCCGCCTGCGGTGTCCACGCTGGGCCTGGATTGGTTCTTTTCCAGTCTCAGTTACAATGCCGTTTCCAGTGGTCCTTTCGTTTTAAAATCTGTACCTTCAAAACATGTAGCCCTTCCGTGTTTAACCTCTCCTGTTGTCTCTCATACCCTGTGCCTGACAGATACAGTTACTAATTGACATTGGCTATTGGCTTTGAGTTTCAGAAAACGCTCTAATCCCTGTTCAAAGCGTCCACTCTCATTCACACTCTCTTTAAAATGCGTGTTAAGATTTTGATTGATTTGATTTTTTTCAGATTTGGATGAGAGTGAAAAAGGTAAACTTAGATTTCACCCTGCAAATCTTAAGTAGAAATTTCGATGCATTTTTGCCAAGATTCAGAGATAATTACCTGGCAGGCAGAGTAACGTAGAAACTTGGGGGATTTGAAGCATTAATTTACATTTGTAATAATCAACTTTGTAAATTTTATTTTTAAAAATCCGAGTGTTTAAAAAAGATACCTTCTCTGTCCATGAATTCACAAATTGCAGTACAGTAAGACAAACATAAAAGTATCACCTTATGTGAAGCCAGGAGAATAGAGGAAGGACAGACTGAAATAGATTTGAAGAAACAAGATAAATGAAGAGGAAGAATTAGGACAAAAGACTGCTCATTTTCACTATTCCGGCTTCCAAAGTCATCTTTAGTCTTGGAAGGAGGCAACAGAGAAGAAATGGCTGAAAGAAAAGGCAGAAAAATGCCAAATGACAATTTTATATTTGGGATTGAAAAGTAGCAATTAAAAACTGCCAAAAGTAGAACCAGAATTTTATCTCTGCTGTTTGTATTTGTACACTAAGCCCAAAATTTCAATATTCGGGGAATTTTTTTCCAAGTATTTCTGTTCTTCATTTTTTCTTATGAAAACGAGTCAGTTCATGAATGATGTTTGGAGTAATATTTTCTTAGCAAGCATATTCTGACCTTTTTTCTCCTTTTTTTTTTTTTAGTTTTTATTTTATCCTTATGTACATACAATGTTTGGGTCATTTCTCCCCCCTTCCCCCTGTCCCCTCTCTTACCCCCCCCCTTACCCTCCCTTACCCCTGGCTACCAGGCAGAAACTATTCTCAATTTATCTCTAATTTTGTTGAAGAGAGAATATAAGCAATAATAGGAAAAACCAAGGGTTTTTGCTAGTTGAGATAAGGATAGCTATACAGGGAGTTGACATGCATTGATTTCCTGTACATGTGTGTTATCTTCTAAGTTAATTCTTCTCGAACTAACCTCGGGGAACTTTTAAACTTGGTTTTTGTTAGCCTTCACTGCTGCTGTATTAATGGAGTGTGAGTGTGGATGGGTGTAGGTGTGTGTTATATTTTTTATTATTATGTGCATGAAGAGTATATTTATTTTAACTCATGAGAGAGCTAATAAAATAAAATGACATTTACATAGTTCAATTTTTAATTTAAAGGTACAATGCCCAAGATAAAAATAAATCAAGCTTTATTTTCTCAATTCGCTGATACATTATCAGGAAGCTAAGATAACTTGGGCCTAGGAGAAAAACAATGAAAGTAATGAGAATGTATTAAACCTCCGTGATGTACCACCCAAATGTAAGCCACCACTGAGATAAATATGATCAAGACATAATCCAGTTTTAAAATGTCCATATTTTTTAGAGGCAAGAGACAGATTAGACAATAACTACAATCAAATGTGATAAAAGTCTAGGAACAGCATGAAGAACAATAAACTCTGCTTTTGGGGGAGTAAGAATGCTTCCAAAGTAAGATTGAGTTGGCCCTAAAAAAGCTAGTAAAAGAGCCAGTCTGGCTATGGAGGTCTTCCCAACAAAGAAAAAATGTACAAAAGCCCATAGGCATGAAAGAATATGGTCATTCTAGGAAAACAAAGAAGCTTACTGCTGCTTGATTTAGTATAGGGAGATACAGGGGCTGACAGAAAAGGTAGAATAAATAGATTAAAGAGAGATACTGGAGGTCTTTGTGTGCTGTTCTAAAATGGCTTCCAGCTATCTGCAATCTGGAACATCAGATTTGCCTAGAATACTGCTTTGGGGGTGGGAAGAAAAGATTTCCTTTTCTGTTACTACCACATCATCTGCCTGTAACCATGGAAATGCCTATGTTATTAGAGCCAGACCCCTCTCCCCACTCCACCCCCAGTCACACTGCATTGATTTTACGTCAGAAAACTGAGTGTCTGGAAGTACAATTTATAAAGAAAAGGTTAGCTTAAATGCCACTGGTTAATGCAAAAGTTGGGAGTTTTCAGTAATCTTATAAACCCAAAAAAGGAGAAGACAGTAACTACATTTGACATTCTGACTCCATTTATCTCTCAGACCTAACTGCTTTCTAGCTCTGGGGCTCTATGAGATGCCACAGTATCTTTAAAACTGATTTCCTCTTTGAGTACTCCCAGCTGTGTTTCTGACTTTTTAATGAACCTAGACCCATAGAGAACCAAGATTGTGGAGCCAGACTATGACTCAAAGTGGTGGTTCATGCTTCAGAATGCCTCTTGGGTCACTTTTTGTCACTTAGCTTCACTACCCATTCACTTGTTTATTCTCAAGCATGTTTGGGGCAATGTCTTATATCGCAAAGTAATATTGTACATATGGCATCCTTATCCCCTGGCTCCTGTTCCCATTCTGACAGGGACAGCAAAGGAATCAGATGCTCACTTTTGGATTTTAAAGTGGATTTTAAAGCTGATCCCAAAGGCAAACATTTCAGAAAACTGTCTAAGTTTTAAAGACTAGTTTCTGAGTATTAAAACTCCATTACTAATTGACTTAGGGTAACCTGAATGATGTAGGGCAAAAAGGTTAGGCCCAAACAAAAAAATTATACAAGGCTTAGTGACAGAAGAGCCTGAATTTCCCACCTTTACCTCTCTGGAGGTAGATCCACAGAGCAGAAGGAGTTGTCTGTCTTGCTTTGTAGATGGACCTAGAGGTGAATCACTAAGTGCTCAAACTCCCAGTATGGTGTGGCATGTGCCACAGCAGAATGCTTCTCCATATAACCAAGGCTCATCAGGCATCAAGGCCAGAAAACCTTGGGAGACTAAGCAATCAAACCGATGAGGGACTGTGTCCAGACTGTATGTATGAAACTATTCTGTAACACATTTAAAGCAACTAATCACTCAGTTTAAAACATGGCAAAGATGTGGTGGCACATGTCTGTAATCCCAGCTACTAAAGAGGCAGAGATCCATAGGATAAGGTTTGAGACAAGTCCAAGAAAGAAATTAGCAAGACTTCATCTCAACAACTAAGCTAGGCATGGTGGCACATGCTTCTAACCACAGCTACTGGCAGACACAGGTAGGAGGATTATGGCCTAAGGTCGGCCACAGGGAAAAACATGAGACCCTATCTGACAAATAACTAAATCAAAAAAGGCCTGGGGGTGTGAGTCAACTAGTAGAGTGCGTACTCTAGCCCAGAGTTCAAACCCCAGTACCACCAAAAAAAATTTTTTAAATAAGTAAATAAATAAATAATAAAAATGGGCAAAGAGCCAGGGATGTTGGGGCCCACCTGTAATCCCAGTACTAGGGAGGCGGAGGCAGAAGGATCACAAGTTCAAGGCCAGCGTGGACTGTGTAGTCAAATACTGTCTCAAAACAACTACAACAACCCAAAAAAGCAAAAACTCTCATTTATTCCTGATGTGAAGGTGAACTAGCTCAGCCATGTTGGAAGTCTCTTACAAAACAAAACACATTCTTACCATGTAACCCATCTATCTGGCCCCTTTGTACTATGCAAATGAGTTGAAAACTCCTGTCCACATAAAAATCTAAATAGAATGGTTATAGCAGCTTTATTCATAGTTTCCAAAACCTGGAAGCAAACAAGATAAGCGTTAGTAGGTGAGCGGATAAGTGAACTGTGGTACGCCTAGAAAATAGTACATTATTCAGTGTGGAAAAACTATCAAATCACGAGAAGATGTGCAGAAACCTTAAATATATGTTACTACACGAAGCAAGCCAATCTGAACGGTTACTTACTGTGCACTTCCAACTATATGGCATTCTCTAAATGGCAAAACTACAGAGACTGTAAAATGATCCGCAATTTTTATACATTTGGGGAAGAAAGGAATGAACGGTAAAGCATGGAGGATTTCCAGGGCAGTTAAAATTTTCTAGTTGCTATGTTAATAGTAAATACAGGTTATTATACATTTTTTTCAAACCCACAGCATCTATAACATCAAGATTGAACCCTAAGGTAACCTATGGACTTTGGGTAATGTCAAGTTAGACTCTTCAATGGTAACAACATGTCATAGTGGTATGGACGTTAATGGTTGAGAAAGCTGTGTATGTGGAAGGAGGCTTACGGGAATTCTCTGGACCCCTCTCCTCAGTTTTTTCTGGAAATTTGAAACTACTCTAACAAATAATCTATATAAAGGAACAGGCAAAGGATTCAAATAGATATTTCTTCAAAAAGACATACCAATTATCAGTATAAACATTTTTAAAATACTCAATACCATTCATCATTAGAAAAATGCAGATCAAAACCACTGTGTGACACCATTTCACATTAACTAGGAAAGTGAAAATAGAATGTCTGTCCGTGTGTGTGTGTGTGTGTGTGTGTGTGTGTGTGTGGTACTGGGGTTTGAACTCAGGGCCTACATGCTTGCTAGATAGGCACTCTACCACTTGAGCCATTACGCCAGTCCAGAAAGTGAAAATAAAAGGCTATCTATA